GCTGCATACATGTGTCACCTGTTGCAGCAGCGTCATCGGACGAATACGAAAAACAAAAGATGAATATTTGAATAGTTTTTCGGCTTACCGTCGGACAGCCGCAAGGGTTGCGTAAAACGAAAAAGGTCACACAAGAAGGGTCGAACAACAATTTCCTAGTGTAAAAAAAGTGAAACCGACCACGTGGCATAATACGTAGATACGTGCATGCATAATATGTAAGTTGAATGTCGCAGAGTTACACTCGGGTGAGTTCGACGAGGATATTTTCTTCGCCCTCCACATGCCGTGATGGCCCTCTGGTCGCACCCGCGGACATTGTGTGTACCACTCATCAGTAGTATAACACTATAACAAGTACAATAAGTACTTAGTACATATGTACATATTATATTACAAGCGACGTGTGTGTTCGTGTGTATTATTTAGATTGATATTAATTATGATATACGTAGGTATAAAAGATTAAGAGAACGTATATCGAGCGGCGGACAAATGTGGATCGTCGACCCATACAGTGATGCAGGCAGACTGAGTCACACGTCATGTGTCTCGCGATGAGAAACGCGGACCGCGGGGCAGGTGAAAATGAAAAACGCGTCCAGAGACGTGAGACAATGAAATAAAAACGAAAGGGAAAAGGGACAAGAATCGGCTCGGTGACAACAGATCGAAATTCGTCTGTCTGGCTGCGGCGTGTGAATAATAATCACAATAACGTCATGACCTAACCCCGGTCCGAGATAGACGTGTGGAAATTTCCAACAGTCACCTGCGCATGTACATATATTTTATGTGCTCGTCTCTACTCTCTACGTGATAATGAAGATGATAATGTAATATAATAACCGCGAGGTGTTATGCATTGTCCGAGCAGCCCAGACTCCCCCGCCATCGTTGTCGTCGCCGTGTTGTTAATTTGGTGCACTCAGTAGTGGCTCTGAAGGGTCTTTAAATCAGTATGTGTGGGCAAGAGGGTGTTCACGAAAGGGTCGTCTCATACAGGAACAATTAGTCGCGGGGTAGTTTCTACCGTAAGTATGTAAATGACTTGGCTCCCCGTCCGAGCAATGGTACAACCACCATCAGTGCACTGAATGCGTGTCCTGTCCGCCGTTTCATTAACGTCCGCGTGTATACGACATTACGACTATTATATTATAACAATACAATCATAACGTAACGCGGTGATATATTATTATTATTATTATTTATTGTCATAATATTATGATGTTCACACTGCCTACGATGATAGCAGACTTTGAAACGATCACCATCTCCGTCGACGCCTTAGCCACTGCTGTTGTACAGGAGCTATCGCGGGTCGAATAGGTTAAAAACAAAAACTAACAACCCTCGAGTTGAAACTGCCATGTCGTTGTCATACTATTATTTAGACAGGATATTCAGACATATGTACATACAATATTTGATATTATTTTTTTATCGTTATTACCATAGGCATACCAGATTTATCCCAAAAATATACACACTGATTTTTTTGTTTTAGCGTGTACCTATTTAAAAAAAAATACAGATCACACAGCCCTAAAAAAAATTTAAGCTAGTCAAGATTCGAGTACAAATTGCATAATTCTTTGTATTTGATTTAATTTATTAGAATTGTGTCTATGGTGACCCTAGAATAAAAAGGAGTGGTTTGACACAAAATATTCACGTGCATCTAAGTCAAAAGGTACTCATACTTTTAGCGATAAATCATATAAACGTACATAGGTAGCAATTTTAAACATCGCCTTTTGCGCACCTTATAATATATAAGAGAACCAGAAAAATATCTATACGAATTGGCTTCCAAAGACTTCATAGTTCATTCGTTGTATCCACAACTGATGACATGGAAATAACTTGAGTATACCTAGTACGATTGTCTGTCCACGGTGAGAACAAAGAGATTCACCCACCCCTATACAATACGCATGTCCTATGACAAAATAAACTCAAAAGTGCTTTTCATTTCCGACCTCAACGAGTTAGTTTCTAAAAATATTACCGACCACGACGGCTCGTATTGAAACAAACGGGATAATATATTATGACCACACGAGTGGACGCCACTTATTTCGGACCCGATGCCACTCTGGGAGCAGCAACAGGCTGGCGCGCCGTGGTCCATGCGGCAGTGGCGGCGTGGCGAACACATCTCCGAGCACGCCGTTCGTCTTTGGGCACGCGCCGCATTGGTTAGGTCGTATAAGGTCTGTTGCGCCGTGGCTCATGTTGGATCGACGGCCGCCCGCGTGGTCCGCTCGTGCCCGGACCCGCGGGTTCTCGAAGTGGAGAAAGTGAGCGGGCAACATCACTCGAATAAACCCCCACCCCTCACTATAGGCACGGTGTGACCGGCTCATCGTGTACATGTATATGTTATTATTGTAATTATTATAAATACTCGGCGATAATGGTTTTGACGTGCAAAATCAGTCGACGTTCGAGTTGACGCACAAATCAGTTGCATATATATAATATATAATTTTTTCTGGAAACTAGGTATTAGGTACCTTCATAACATTATAGTTTAAAATATTCACTTAGCTCGTGACAAGATATACGGAGAAGAAATGTTAAAACGTCCCCTCCACCAGTCTAAGGTTAAAAGAAATTATAATTATACGATTAACCATTATAATAATTTATTACATTCTGGTTTTAGATTAACGCATTCATATCTATATACGATTTCAATGCTTCATAAGATATAATATGCCGACTGGCGGCTGGTTCATGATTCACTTGAAACAATCACTCTGTGTAATAAAGGTACTTACAAAACACGTGTTATCACTTCTATAGATAAAATAATTTTATAATTTATAATGTACGTATTTCAAAGGCAATACCTTATTATTTATATTTAGGAGGATCATGACTTCAGTGTTTTTCAAAAACTATCGGTCACTAAAATGTTTTTGTGCCCTGAAAATCGTTTTAGTATACTATATTTAACTAAGACTGAAACTTTATTGTATTTACATGCTTTTTATTTATGTTATAAAATATTAATTTAATATAATTAATCAACTATTATAATATATTAAGAATGATTTTTTTTCTGCATATTTCATGATTAACTATGTACTATTATAAGTTATAACACTTCTAAGTATATTAAAACATCATATAAATATAGATTAAAAAAATGAATATAAAGTTATTTATTTGTAGATTTAATCTTGCGGCAGTGCAGTTATAAATACATGATCATCAATATTTTGTTAAATTTAATAAATAATTAAGGAGCTGGTAGTCATTTGATATTATTATCTACTTTATAACTACTGGTTTTAATTGAATATACGTATAGTAGATATGATTATATGTTTATGTTTTGTATAATTTTAAAATAACTCAAATGAAAAATAATCTCATATTCTCATAATAATTTTAATTTAAAAATATATGCAAATCCGTTGATAAGAAAAAATGATGAGCGAGTTTTTCCTTTATTTTTTAAATGCAAAACTGCATAGATATCTATGATGAATTTTTATAACTGTAAAGCTAGAAAGAGAGTTTGCGGGAGCTCTGTATATATAATAATATACAATGCCTCACGTATAATGTTGGCATTATACATTTCCGAGGATTGAACGATTTGTTCAAGACTACATTGCACTATAGTAATATACTAATATGGTACCTAATTATTATTCGTCAAATAACAATAAAACTTTATAGTGGGTCTCGACTCTCGGATTATACCAGAAATGAATACGAGTGTATATGAAGAGCGAGATCCGATCGGTTCAGGGAGCGCAACAAATAACCCACGCGGGATTATAATTACTGAAAATAGATTGGAATAAGTGTGAATTATATTAATGATTTTTATGCTTTCCACGTTTTCGAGTGCATATTATTTTAATCTATAGTGGAGGTATAATGACCGTAATTGTCACCAGCGGCAAGCGACTATGTTAGAGGATTTCCGTATGTGTCGTGTGGTCCGAAGTAGAAGCATAAAACAAGTCCAACTAGAGTGCAAACCGCATAACATGAGTTTGAAAATACAGTCGACTGGACCGATATAGTTAGTCACTGCCGTAATGTGATAATAATCGTTTGTCGTGTATATTTTATTATGTATAATAATATGTACAGCTAGTTAAGACGCTCTCAGCTTTACGGTGTTACAGCTATGCCAAAGACCGCGTAATCGATAACACACGCATGTGATTCACAAAAGACCGTGTAGACAGAAACCTCGTCCTAGTAGTTAAATAATAATATTATTAGGAAGTTCTAACATAATGTAACTATAAGACGTGTCCGGTTAGATATTATGTTTTTCGAATTATTCCCGTCCGTTCTTATGCGCCTCCTTTATCTTACCTACGTTCTATTATACTTGTGAAGATCCGTCGCCCCTTCAGGAATCTGGTATAATATAAATTATAGGTAGTCAAATAAGTGTCTAAAACGAAGCATAGAAACCACTCCACGTACCATTATATAGACTATCAGATTATTTTACATGAGTATCTACAACTATTATCGAATATAAAACTATACCATATTTATGCAGTTACGCTTCTAATTATAAAATAATATGATACGCTGCTGTAGAAAATAAACATACGATGATAAATTGTATATAAAGTCTCGTGGAGCTTTTTCTGCTGTTACCTATATATGCAGCCTCACCGGCCAGTCTTCGCTAACCTTACTTATCTAAACTTTGCTTGAACATACTTAATATATGTATATAAACATACCTACTTTCAGACTTTTATGAATTTATAAACGTTTAATGGAAATTATCTGTTAAACTTTTAACATTTTTACATATATTTTTGATTTTAAGTTTAAGTGAACCAAAATTATGTTTCAATATTATAGCTTTCAGGTTTCTAGCACAGTAACTTGGTTATGATTTCTTAAAATCGTATTTCAACTAGAATAATATTATCAGTGGTGACAATAAAGGTGATGGTGATATGGTGATAGGCTCTGTTTATATATTTTACAACGTCACTGACCTGTCGAAACTGTTCTTCAAACGTCCATGACTGTGCCTCATTATTCCGGGCCGCGGACGGCGACTGAACGTCTGCAGAACGACCGCCGGACATCGGCACGTCACCTGAGTGGCTGGACTTAGGCGACAGGTCAGCAGCGGCCGCCGTCGTGTGTCTGCTCAGAGCGTCCGTCGTCAAGGACACGGCCACGGCGGACGGCTGCTGTAGCTGCAGTTGCAGTTGCTGCTGGTGCATCTGCGACGGTTGTACGGATAGTCCTGGGTGTTGGTACACAAGATGTTGAAGCATGGGAGTTATCAGTCGCGAACCGGACGCCAATTGTCTGGCGAGCTGATTGAGAGTTTCACGTTCCTCGCGCTGAAATTAATAAAAACAATATTTTGATGATGAAAAACTCTTATGTTCAATGTATATATTATTTTCCAATACGTTAGTTGTATCGTGTTATAGGTTTCTCTTTCTCTCAGATTGAAATCGAAAGTTGATCATAAAACCAAAACTTGGTGAGTTTGAAGGAAAACATTTAGTTCTATTTCCAATTTATAGTATTTACATATTTTTGAGAATTTATTAAAACCATAAGTCCATATCTTGTACTATACAGTATTATATAATACTAAAATCTTAAATTCGTCGAATACCCGGAAATGAAGTGCATTATAACAATTAAACAAACCGAAGGTGTGTAGCTCAGTCATAGCACATAAACGACCCACCACCATGCGCACACATGCCGCTAACTCAGTTATCATTTATTAACTTTTCATCAACAGTTTTGATGGTGTAATGTATTGAGTGTTATCTAGTGAATACAAAATCAAAATATAAAAAAATATTTTGATGTGCTCTTGTACAGTTTATGTCCCAAATGTTCAGTATCACCATTAGTATCTCATCGGCAAATCAATATATTATTTAAATAATTCTTTTTTATGGTACATTAAGTATCAACATTCTAATTGGATGGCATGAGATATAAAACATTTTTTTTTAATTTTCTAATTTTTAAAGAAAAAAAGTTGAATCTTATACCTGGTTCTATTAGAATTTCCATACTTATTACTGTAAAGCAATACTGCCGAAGCTAATTTTATTTTTTTTTCTCCCTACTATACACGATCTATAAAGGGTTTCTATCAACTCCCCTGGAATTATGGCGTTTTACCTGCATTTCCAAAATATCTTGCTCGTCTTCGGGTGAACAATCTTCATCCTGCCGGCAGTCCATTATGTCATCGTCGTCCATATCGCGATCATCAATGTCGCGATCATCTTCGTCGTCGTCATCATCGTCGTCCGTGCAGCCTTTGGACCGGGACGGTGAAGTGTCTTCGGCCACTGTCGAGTGTGGCCAGTGATATGCAGCCGCGTGAGGTTGTACGCTCAGGTTGAGATTGAGACCAAGTCGTCTTGGGCTTCCGGCTTCGGTGGCGGCCATCTTAACTTGTTCTGTCTGTGCGTTGCGCTGTTGTTTGTCCAACTCAGATGACGGTTCACTATTCAGCTGCGAAAATCAGAAAACGTCATACATCAATTTATCATGTAAATGCCATATTATTTGATATAATAATATATATATATATATTTACATGCTATGAAATACACGTTACACACTACCTACGTAACTAGGTATCTATATAGTCTTCTTTAAAATACACTTTTATTTTCCTATTTCAAACACTATCCGTAGGTAATTTTAATTTCTTAAGTAATTTAATATAAGTATACGACAGTATGCTTTATAATAGAACATTAGGTATATGATTTAGTTTTATATTATACGAGTCATAGTTAACCACATTTTTTGTTAATTCCAATCGAATTATGTTTAACTTAACAGTGCATACCTACGTTTCAAATAAATTATGTCATTATTATGATGTAGATATCGACCAAGAATAATAAAATATTGTAAGTATTGATTTATTTATAATATATTATATATATTTATAATAACTTAGCATTAAACTGTTTGTTTGATATACAAGAAATAACAATATATTAGAATTTTATAAACCAATAATATTATTTCTACCTAAGCTTTATAATTTATAATTGTTCAGACGCAATCGGTCAGACGAGCAGCTGCGCTAAATAATATATTTTGGAGCTCAAGCTCGGGTCGAGTGAGCATCGGGCGGGCGATGCTTTACAGATGGAACAACGACAGCAGTCCTCTCTTCCACTAATAATATTCTTTTGGTCGTGTTTTTTATGTCAAAGAAGCGGAAGAATATAGGTACGCGATACGATCGAATAACAATAATAATAATGTTAACAATAATTTTTTTTCATCTTTTGTGCTTGTCGAGACCTTTTTTAATCTTTAATATTTTAATTTACGTCAACAATGATGCACCAGCGCTGCGCAGACGATATTCCTATGGTGATGTATCCGGCGGTTAACCCTTCTGTGTGGTTCATCGAGTTTATAATATAATGTAACACCATTTACACATTGTAATAGTCCCACATTGGAATACCTTAAAACGTTCGAATCCGTCATGTCAATAATAATAATAATAATAACATAATCGTACATCATACCTCATATCTCATGATAAAATATACATAATCACAATACTTATTAATAGTTACAATAATATAGGAATTATATCATACTTTTAACCAGTGTATATAATATTATTCAATATTCATATTATAATAGTATATTGTACACAAACATAATATCGTTTATGGGTAGACCTTATCCATCTGAACTTATTGGAAATATTCTTGTACCTACGTATTTCAATAACTTGCAGAATATATAGATAAACAGTATTCAAGTACAAAGCAAGGTGTCCTTATGGACGAATCAGCATTAAAATCATACACCCAGAAACGCTGTGAAGTTATATTTTTATCGGATATAAGGAGTTTTCTCGATTTTCCATTCGACGACATAATATTTTATCGTTTTATCGTCGAGTCGATTTGAAGGCGTCAAAAACTTAGAAATTGGCGTAACAGCACGCCATGTTAATTAATAATAAACTAGCTGGCATTATTTTCTATTACTATTATTATTATAATTCTAACGGCCTGGTATTAAAAAAAAAATTAAGTATGTATATATATTATTTGTTTATGACGTGTGGCCCACTGCCAAGTGGACTAATGTAATTTTAATGAAACACGTGTTATTTTTCCATATATCCTTCATCTGTCGCGCTCGCCGTGAGCTTTATTATTAATTCACTCAGAAATCGTCATATTATCGTCAACTGAATGTCATAAGCAATTTATCAAAAAAGGACCGGCCAAAAATACGATCCGTCCGAACGATTTGGTTTCGTGCGTGCGGTCGACGTTTTAAGACTATTTATTTCTCATCATCTGCGAGGCCACCCGTCGGAAATCGATTAAAATATTGAATTGCACGTAAACATCGAACCACAGAGTTCTATATGAAATTTAATATTATATTATATATGTAGCAGAGAAATGCGTCAAAACTGTATAGGTTCGTGTCACTTAAATCAGTGTGTACCTATAAAGTGCAGGCAGATAGGTTGTTATAGTATTTTAATTTGTCTTTAGTTATACGTGATTCGGTCACTTGATTAAGAGGATGTTTGAGCAGTATTATTTTCTCTCTCTGATCCACAAACAACATAGTAAATTTGAGTTTAGCAAAACTAATCTCGTTAGCTTTGATAAATTATAGTGCATGAAACTATTATTATTATCAAATTATTAATTTATTAATATTATTAAACTGCAAGTTAAGAATATTAGCTGTTGCTCGTAGGTCAAAAAGGGAAAACTATTAATAGTGATCTGGCCTCCTATTTCATTCGAGGAAGCCGTACATTTTGTAGGTGACAGTGAACTTTTAATTTTTTTAATATGTACTTAATTACTCATATTATTATAAGTATGCATAAAAGAGATAGGATAAAATCATAACAATAACGAAAATAAAATAGAAACCTAATATATTATTTTTATGACTAGGAGGGAGGTTAATAATTTTTCAAGAGTTTTTGGACTTTCTCTAATTGGATTCTATTATTGTTGTACTTAATCAGACACAAATGATATCGTAAATCAAATCTGAATATATTTTTACTTTATACGGCTTAAGGTTTTACAGATCTGCATATTGCTGAGGGGCTTGTGGGTGTGAGGCTAAAAAATTGAATATCAATGAAAGTTGAAACTCAAGCTTATCAAAATATCATTTTCAGAAAAGTGTTGATGGATCTACGAAAATGAATTAAATTTAATTAGAATTACGTTAGGTATTTTGAAAGTATTTTGAATTTATTTAAAATTGTATTCTAATTTTCTAAACTAAAACTATTATTGAATATAATACAACCAAGTTTGGTCACGATAGGCTAAAATATAAGTACAATAAATAATTAATAGTAAAAATAGTTTAATAATATTTGTATTACATAATAATTTTAGTGAATACGAGCCTTGCGTTGATTGTTTTGTTCGTAATACTGTCAGTGCATGAAATGCAAGCGTGTTTACGATTTTTCTATAATATGCGATACAGCCGGAGTCGGAATCAAACCGATTTCGATTTATTACTATTATTACTATTATTATTATTAATAATAATAAAGCATCATACGAGAACCAACGCGGGCGCGTTATAATTACACCCCACGACGGTTTATCGCATGCTAAACATAATATAATAATATTCGCCGCCGCCAGTTGTACCTTATACACTACCGCCCCATCACTGTTGCAGCAGCAGACGGCGTACCTAATTATAATTCCGATACCAATCGTCTGGATTCATATTATGCGCCGTATAATGTACATTTAACGATTCGATTAATGTATAATATTATTAAGCATACAGGTAGGTATATAATAATATCGACCTTATTACGGATCGTATACGACGACGATGGGAGCGACTACTGGTTTTTACGGGACTATGGTTTTTTTTTGGAGATCGTGACCGCTCTGGGCTCCGGGATTGCGTGTCATGTCAGTGTATAATATTATAACACACACAAGCACACACACACACACACACACACACACACACACACAGGATCGCGCGCGCGGGTTATCGTTTTAATAATTCGTTTTATATTAATAATAATAATATAAGAATTCTCTATCGGATCACGCTATACACAAATACACACGATAAGAGTCTCCGGCGACTGGACACCAGGCGCTATTTCTCTACATGCGCAGATCAAATTTAATTCATTTTGACGTAAATTTATACACGACACCCTTGCGTATAACCTGCGAATGCCGAACAGCAGAATTCTGTACAGTGTTTACTAGTAGCGCACTGGAGTGATTCATCAATCAGGCCCAAATTTATACTAGGTACAAGACATTTTCCAAATAACGATTTTTGAAATTTCAAAGGTAAGTGCGCAATAATTAAATTGCATATTTTCAAATACGCATAACATGCCAGTTAAAGTGGATAAATGTGTACAATAATATAAAAAAACTTAATATAACATATTATGTATTTTGTGTTTTACGAAAAACGATAGCTCCGTGAATACATATATATATATATATATATGGACGTATTCAATGATTCTTAGTAATATCATAAGACGTCTGTTTGAATAGTGTACACACTATTCGAACAATAGTAGTGCATGTCTGTTACCAAAACGCTTTTTGTGAGGTCGGGCCGCGATTGACTCTTCATCTCCTACGCTCTTTAGAATCCAAATTTCAGAAAATAATTTCTAGGTATTTTCCTCCTGTACACGTTAGAATATGTATTTATTATACAGCTCACCCCGCTACACCACAGCCGGCGCAACGATAATAATTATTATAGTTTCGGGCGCGTTTTAATAACTGTTATTTACGAGACGCGTCACGATTGCATGGCGACTACCGCGGCGGGTCGGATATCAACGTTATAATGTGGCTAAGGCAAAATACAATATATAAAGTATAATAAAATACATAGGTTGCCTGCCTCGAGAAAGACCTGCTCGGGAGAGTTTACATTATATTATATTGTGCACGAGTAGGTACATATTATATTATTACGGAATTAAGTATAAGTATAATAGGGCAGTATCGAGGGAGTTTTTAAAACTTTAAAAGTAATACATATGTGTTACATGTATTGACAATTACGGACGGCGTCCTGGCGTGTTGTACGTCGCGTAATATATTATATCGTGTTATAATATATATTGAAATACCTACAACGATACTACGGGGGATGAGGTTGCTAAAAGGGTATATATATGAACGTGGGTGGTGCCGCACTCGGGATTCCGCAATAACACGTTCAACCAAAACTTACTATATTATTTACACTATGCGGCAGTCATTATTTATCGGCGTATACTGACAAATTCAATATGTACAATACTCAGAGCGACCGGTAGAGTTCGCCAGTAAGTTCAACACCCTCCATATATTATAATAAGGCTTAACACGATATTACACACTATAACGTCGCAACGTGAATTCAAATAAATTGTGTTAATGCTTAATAATATTGTGTTAGTTGGGCTGTAAGCCGAAAATTGGTAA